GTGTAAATATTAATACATTTGTTATGTACACAAAATAAATATGGATACCAACCAAATATGAAATTTGATCCATTTTTTCATTTAAACCCTAATGTTGTCAGTTGTTAAAAAAATATTTATTTATATCTTTAAATATTTATTTATATAAGAATATATATTTTTTCTGTACAAAAATTTTATACATGTATAAAATATATGTATACGTCTTTAAAAATGTAATATTTCAATCTATAGCTTACCATTTACACTTTCATAAGCTCAATTAATTTAAAGCGTTCGAATCTGAAATCTTTAATCCCTGGACTCATTGAATATATTTAAATACAATTTGTTTTAAGATTAATTGCCAAGAATAAGTATTGGCTTATATATAACATTCCAGACTCTGCTCGCTACATCAGATGTCCATATTAAACCTTGTACTAGTCTTGCTCTATTCGCCACTTCAACTGTTTTGCACCTGTGCTACATCGATAGAGAACACCTGCGCTAGTTTCCTCTTTAACTGCAATCTAGCCATCCTATTTGCACTTTTGCACTCGTGTTAATAAACTAACGATCCGCAGTGCTCAAAGCTCCAGTGCTCCATTCCAGCGCCAGTGGCGCAGAAAACCGTACACATCATTTTGATGTCAATTATTTTGCCGTCAAGAGTTGACATGGCTTTTGTTCACAGTTCCCCCCTCTCGCCACACCCCTACCCATCGCTCGAAGCACACAAGCCAACAGAAGCACAAATATTCAGCCTTTGCTCTATATACATACATGCACAGTTGCTGTTGTTGTTATTGTAGTTGTTGTTCTTGCCGTTGCTGCAAATTCTTTGTCAGATAACTTTGAGGTGGGTTCAGGTTGCCATCGAACGTGTCGAGCGCTGGAGCTCGCTCATAGAGACGTCGCTGCGGCTGCCGCTTTATGCTTTTGGCAGCCTCTGTGCGTAGCCTAAGCTCAGCCAAATTGGAATAGCGAACTGCAGCTGGGTAATTGGCAAAAATGGATTTTGTCACATTGTTTCAGCTGATGAAGACGAGGGGCAATTGAGGCGATTAAGGCGGAATGCAACAAGTGAACAATTTCAAATAACGAAACAACTCAGCTGACGTCTGACATTTCAACATTTTATCTACAAGCCATATATTTTGTATAAAATTTTTCAGATATTGGTTGAAATTTAATTGATGGATAGCTTCAGTATGTTATGCATTTGCTGGCAATAGTCGCCGTAGACGTACATAGATGCTGTGCTGCCGTCTCGTTGCGATATACGCTGCATGGCGTTGCCACCTAGCGTGGGGTAACTTTAGCTCGCCGCGACGCACACGTCTGGCAACGCTATCACGCTGTTAGCTTTGCTTCGTTTCGAATTTGTACACAAAAAGTTGTAACACAAATCGACATCCGGCTCCACTGTCAAACAACAACAGCAACAGCCAAAACAGCAGCAGAAAGGTAACGCCGACGCCGACGCCGACGTCGAGGGCGAAGCCGTCGCAATGCCGAAGCAAGAGGACGCCGATGTTATTAACAAACTGCTCCAGCCCGACACAAGCGCTCAGAGTGAGCCCAGCTCAAGCAGCAGCGGCAGCAGCAAGCCGAAGGCGGTTGGCGACATTGGCGGCGGTGAGCGGGAGAAGCCTCGGTCGAAGAAGTTGCTGAAGGACCCGCGCTTCCAAATACGGCCGCTGCAGCAGGTGGCATCGGCCTGCACAGGTGCGATGATCACCGCCTGCTTCATGACGCCCCTGGACGTGATCAAGACCCGCATGCAGTCACAGCAATCGCAGCAGTCGCGGCCGAGCAAGTGCTTCCTCTACTGCAACGGGCTGATGGATCATCTCTTCAGCTGCGGCACGACGTCCAGCGCTCCGGGTGGCAGCACGCTGAAGCCGCATTTCCGGGGCACTCTGGATGCGCTGTTCAAGATCAGCCGCCGGGAAGGCCTGGCCGCCCTCTGGTCTGGGCTGGGGCCCACGCTGGTCTCGGCGCTGCCCTCCACCGTGGTCTACTTCGTGGCGTATGAGCAGTTCAAGGCCAAGTACATCGACATCTACCAGCGGCACTTTGCGCCGCCTCAGCTAAAAGGCACGCCCCCGGAGCATAAGCTGCCGCTGGTGGTGCCCATGCTGTCGGGTGTGACGGCTCGCATCTGCGCGGTCACCTTTGTGAGTCCCATCGAGCTGGTGCGCACGAAGATGCAGTCGCAGCGGCTCAGCTACGCCCAGGTGCTGCAGTTCGTGCGCAACATTATTGCCATCCAGGGCGTGGCCGGCCTGTGGCGCGGCCTGCCACCCACCATCCTGCGGGACGTGCCGTTCTCGGGCATCTACTGGCCGGCCTACGAGTACCTCAAGATCTGCTTCAGCGAGTGCGACGAGGAGCCCTCGTTTGGCTTCAGCTTTGTGGCCGGCGTGCTGGCCGGCTCGGTGGCCGCCCTGGTCACCTGTCCCTTTGACGTGATCAAGACCCATGAGCAGATCGAGTTCGGCGAGCGAGTGATCTTCACGGACTCGCCCTCCAAGGAGCTCAGCAAGCAGTCCACCTACAGCCGCCTGGCCGGCATCTATCGCCTATTTGGGCTGCGCGGTCTGTTTGCCGGTTACGTGCCCAGGCTGTGCAAGGTGGCGCCCGCCTGCGCCATCATGATCTCCACCTTTGAGTACAGCAAGCAGTACTTCTTCCACTACAATGTGCACCAGCACAACAAACAGCTGCTGAAGCACAATCCCAACGCCAAGCTGGTCAAGGAGGATGACATCGAGTAGTGAATGTCAATAGTACGATTCCCATTATCTTCTCCAACTTTTTTTTTTTTAACGAAAAGCAACAACTTTCCATGTACATACATATATTTTATGTTAAATTATTAAAACCCGGTTCAATTAGCCAAGAGAAAATCAATTTGTGACATGCATATATGCCATGTGTGCATGTGTGCCATGTGTGCATGTATGCCTACGGCATGCGCTTAAGGCCATGCGAAAACTTGCGTTGACTTCTGTTTGAGTTCTGTTGATTTAATTTAACATTTACACAAGTCGACACTTGAAAGGATGTAAGGGAAATGAAATTGATGGGAAATGAATTAAATATGCGCTGGCAACACTTCCCCTTCCGCACAGCAAGCGTAATATCCGTGGCAATACTTGAGGTTTTCAATACCCCGCAAAGAGCAGAACAAGATGGAAGCTGAGATGATTGAGTTACAGACATATTTTTGACAGCTTGTCTGTGTCAAGAAGCGTTGTGTTGAATGAATTATCTTCTAGAAGAAAATCTCCATTAATATATTAAATTTATATTTCATTAAAATTTATGCTAAATACAAGTTAATCTTACGGCATTTTGCATAAACAAAATGTGAATCAAATTCGTTTTATATCAATATCAGGTCAACTTCGATTTATTACAGGGCATTAATCAGTCGTATACTGCCTGCCTGGGTGCATCTACTTCGGCCTTCTGCCGGCAGAAATGTGTCTCTTAAGGATATGACAGCCTGGCAGAGTTGACATATAAGAGGCAGCGACTTTACACTCAATATACATTTTATTTAAAGAGAAAAAATAAATTGCGAAATGAAAAGTGGATAGCTGGATACATATATATA